ATCCGCAAGACCTCTCTATATTATGAGGCGTGCTAAATTCTGGTGTTTATGCAGAGTGAAGTTGGCCACTTGTTTTCGAGGAAGAAGAGGAAGACAACATGTTGTTAGTGTTGCTGTTGTTTAGACCACCGAAGCTGGTCATCTAGTGGGACGCACGTAGTTTCGGTGTTCATAGAGCTATATGAAGGTCGCTTGTTTCCGCGCAAAGAAGAGGAAGACAACATGCTGTTGGGCCGGCGAATCTCTCCATAGTATGTCTGGCTCCTAACTTCGGGGTTCGCGGACATGTAGGTTGACCATTTCTTTTCTAGACAAAGACGAGGGAAGCAACACATAAAGTTTATCCCTGTTGTGTTCTGGACCGCCGAATCTCTCCATGTCTCTCATGCTTCCGGTTTTTGGTGTTACGGAAGTAAAAGGTGGAAATGTTTCTTGCCCGCAGGAGACGAGGAGAACAGCATGTTGTTAGCGTTGTTGTTGTTGTTTGCACCGCCGAGCCCTCATCAGCGATATATCCAACGGTTTCTTGGTGGAAGACCGTGTCGGGGAAGAGAAGCGCCAGAGGACATGTTGCTAAGCTGTTGCTGTTCGAACAGCGAGACTCTCCATGAAACCTTGGAACTGTACTTTTTGATATTTTGAGGAAAAGGCGTACAGAAGAAGCGAAGAACCCGGAGTGATCGGGGGATGTTTTACATGCTCGACGGAGAGAGCACAGTCATGCCCGACCATACTATCTTTTTTTTTCCGAGAGATCGCCGAACACATGCAAAGTAGTTTATGTAGGTTTTTGAAGCGAGAAGGCAGGACAGAAGACCATGAAATTTATGAACGCCTGTTTTGGTGTTTTTGAGATCGCTCGAATTCCTCGTCTCCATGAGACGAAACGTACTGAATTTTGGTAATATAAAGGTGTGTTTGGCAGATTCGCAGCCGTTCTTCGAACATCTTGTTATCTTTGGAGAAAAGAACATGATATTGCAGAAGGAAGATTTTTGGGGAAAAGAGCGAAATCTCCATAAGCATATTCATATGAACTTTTTGGAAAAGCAGGATAAGAACTTTGATGAAGGAGTCTCAGAACCAAAACTCTGCGCGGTATTTATACGCCTCAGGTTCATCCCAAAAGCCGGCACACGTGCTACGCTGCAGACCCAAGGTCCAACGCTCAGCGCTAAGTCAGAAACACCAGTCACATCACCCACACCAAGCATGAATACCAAGATATTGATGGTGAAAGATACCATTGCTTCTGAACTAAGTAGTATAGATACTATCTGATCTGTAAAATAATGCGCGCCATGTAAATGCTACCCAATCAAAGAACGCCGTGCAATGCTGCTAAACCCAAGGAAGATAAAACGCCGCTCAATGCAAAGAAGACGCAGAGCTTATGCTGACCAGCAGCTGATGTTTTCATGTCCGATCCCATTGTCCCATCATACCTCATGACCCATAACCCATTACCAAACCCATCTCTTAACCAACACTCTTACCCCTCTTACCCTTCCCACACTCCCTCTTGCTAAGCGGCTCATCGGGGAAAACCCATCCCCTAACCCTCTTTGCCTCCCTCTTCTCACCAAGCTGCGGCTTAGGAATCCAGGCATCCTTCTCAAGGTAGTTTTGCCTGGTGAGTGCGGCGGGGCCACCGACGTCCATGCGCCAGGTACCCATACCCTCGAAGGGGTTCTCCTTGGCGAGCATGTGGAGGTACCAAAGAGCAAGAGCGGCGGTGAGTTGGATGTCGCCGGTCTCAGGGTGGGAACCGGATGTGGAGAGGCGGATGGGAGCGGAGGTCTCTAGGTAACCATAGATGGGGACGCCGGCTTGGGCGTTGACGGTTGTGGGGTCGGGAGTGGAGAAGGAGGATGGGCCACCGCAGCGGACGCAAAGGAGTTCGATCTCCGTCATGATGAAGCCGTAGCGGCAGCTGTGCTCGCGCATCACGCGGTGGAGGTGAGCGAGACCTTGGAGGTAGAGGACTTGCTTGGGTGGTGACTCGCTGCGCATGCCGGTGTTCCATTGGTCGTAGCACTTGACGAGACCGACGACACGGCCACGGCTGTCGCCGAAGAGAGTCTTCTCGTAGTCAGAGGGGTAGTTGGAGACAAACTCTGGTTGTGTGCGTTGGCCGGCGACGGGCTTGATGGAGCGCATGACCATGTGAGAGTTGCCCTGAGCGACCTTGAGAGCGGCGTTGACCTTGTTGGCGTAGTAGTTGGTGCAGATGTCTTGGAGCGCCGACTCGTTCTCTGGCTGCAGGTTCTGGCGGCAAGGCTGAGGAAGGTAGTTTGCTGGGACGGGAACCTCAAGAAGAGGAAGCACCGAGGGAATGGACTTGATGGTGGTGATGTTGAAGTCCTCCCAGCTGCGGAGGTTGCGGATGTCCCACCAGAAGTGGTTGTTGATGCCGCGTGGTGCGCTAGTGACGCGGCGAACAAGAGATGGGGAGGGGTTGGCAGAGGAGAGATACTCAACCAAAGACGACGTAGCAGGGACTTGCTGGAAGCTGTCGAAGCTGACATCGGTGAAGGAGGGGTACTGCACAGCTGGAGCGGCCTCAAACTCCGGGATAGTGAAGTCTTGCGAGCAGGTGGAGGTGAAGCTGGGCATGTCCTGGACCGAGGAGTAGGCAGAAGGAAGGGAAGTGACAAGGCTCAAGTTGGACTGAGGCGCGCTCGAAGCAGTGACGTAGCTGGGCATGTTGCGGTAGGTGGGGAAGCCGTACCGGCTGATGACCTGCTCATCAACACTTCCAGCAGAGGCGGAGCGATCATGGCGGGCTCGGCTAGCTGAAGTGGAGCGAGATTGCGATCCAATGTACGAGGATCGACGAGGAAGCTCAGGCTGCTGTGCGAAGGTGATGGGAGAGTTGAGGGTAGAGAGGTTGAAGTCGTATGAGGAAGCAGTTGACACAGGAGAAGTCAACTGGCTGTGAACGTTGTGCATGTTGTGGTTGAAAGGACTGGATCCACGGCGCGCCATCGAGGCTGGCCGTGAGTATGGGCTGTAGGCATAGCCGATGCTGGAAGAAGTAGACGTCGTCCTGCGATGTCTGATGGGGCCACTGGTGGGCTCGGCAACCTGATCTTGCATACGGACCTTGGGGAGGAGAATAGGTCCATATTGGCGAACAGGTGACCGTGGAGGAGTAGGACCAGAAATGTGAGGTTCTGGTGATGAGGCCTGGGAGTAGTATGTAACGTCAGAGCCGACGCTGCCCGGGATGTAGTTGAAGGGAGCAGTCGGTGGTGTTGTTTGACGGCTATACATGATGAAAGATGTGAAGCTACCAGACTACCTCCAATCAGCACCAATGGCACAACTCGAGAATAGAAGCAGTGACTTACGCTGTGGAGACTGAGAATAGTAACAGGAAGAGATTATCGAATAGCGATTAATAGAAGAGGCCAGCTCTAGGTGTCTAAGACAAAAGCGCAAAAGATGGAGAAAGAAAGGAAATGAGACACGATCGACTCGTCGGGCAGTGCTCTAAATGAAGTGCTTGAAGAAGCTGATGGACTGGCTGATTGCGGCGCAGACAGACTTCTTATCCTTACTGTTCCCCGCGTAGAGACACGAGAACCAACGCCCACTTCGCGCTAAAACATCTGAAACACGATCCATCGAAGGGCCAGCACCCGGGGACTTGGACCGGTAGACTACGTTCTGGCGGTCTGGCGGCAGTATCAGAGCATCCTTCTACAGCATTCGAGCCTCACAAGGCGTCTGAAACATAGCGTGGCTGCTGCTTGGCTTGGGCGAGTACGTGGCTAGCGAACGACTCTGGATCTGCTATTCTTGCAGCGTTGCATACTCGATGTAGTATGGCGGCATGGAATGCTGCGCTGTCAATGGCTGCCGCGATGAAGTGGTATACCGAAGCGGTAAGCGGGCCAGCGACGCGCCTGCACATGGGGCGGTTGGATAACCTGAAACCGGCAGCCTCGGCGCCGCATAGCAGAGTTCTAGTGTCGTAGTACACTGAGGGACTTTTCTCGATGGGCGCTGGGGCGGCAGTTTGACGTTGGCAGCGCGAAGGGACGAATCGACGGGCGTGGTGTTGTCCGCTTAGCGCCTGCCGTGTCGTCCGTGCTGGGTCCCGCGCTGCGTGGGGCAGCTGCAGCCCGTTAAGAGTCATCGATGGACGAGAGGGGCTTGATTGGACCACGGCGCTCCAGCGTTTCGTTTCTGCGGAGCGATATGCGTCTTCCCGCATGCCCGCCATGCACGAACGAGTGACTCACAATGGGCGGAGAGAGTCAATTCACGACTATAACACGCTTCCTAGACCGCCCACACGTCGACGCGTTCACCGCGTTGTTGTCAAGCAAGTTTCTTCCGGGTCTCGGGCCTCGCCCACCTGCTGCGCTGGCATCCGCCATGCCATGCGACTTCGACTCTGTGCACAGCCCCCAGCGGCGTCTTGAGCATGACCTACGAAGCAGCGTAAACTGACGTTCGGACGCTCCCGAAGACAGCGCGAGTGTCGTTCTCGTCCAATGTACCACAGACCGTGCAATCTGACTGGCCCCAACCCGTCTGCCAATCCAAGCGCCCATACTATCAAACGTTGCACCCGGAAACGCTCTCGTGGAGAAAATTTCCAGCCCTACCCATCGTCTCTTGAGCCTCACGGTCTATTAAGCGCCCATATCCACCCCTAAGCGGAAGTATTAGCCTTGAGCATAATCACCAAATATAGCCCCGACGAGCCGAAACCGGCTGGGAAATGGCCGTTAATTGCCTGAAAGCGGAGCTTAACTGTCAAACGAGCCTGGGGCTAGTATTGCTTCATCGAGCGCTGACAGCGGATTGGCGCGAGGTTTGGCAGCCCTCATTTCGGTTTCATAAGCTTCGCAAGAGCCTCATCCGATGTCATGATGGTCATGCCTTGTTCTAGGCGCCTACGTACATTTGCCGTCATCTTCGGCGACCGAAAAGAAACTACCCGTCGATTTCTCCTTGCCCGCCTGAACTGTCATCATGCCAGGTAGTTACCGCTCGTGTAATTGCGACTCCACCGACTCGGTCCACCACTTCTTCCAATCGACCACCTGGCGCTTCGTTCGAGCGTCTTCGGCCGCGAAGACCATGGCATGGCTCCGGAACGCTTCCTCAAGGTCGCATCCGAGAAAGTTCCGCTGAGCGTCTGACGCGGGCATGGCGCCAGAGTCGACAGCGTTAACCGCCATCAGAAATTGTCGCGCAAGCCCCTCGTCTCCGCCCCCGTGACCACCGCCTGCCAGATGAGGGCTGTGAGTTTTGGTTTGCCCAGTGGAGAAATTGTGTACTTTGATGCTGGTGCTGTCGTACTCGATCTCACCCTTCGTGCCGTAGATGCGACCTCGCCGTTCGCACTGCTTCTCTGTAAAGGCAACCATATGGAATTGCGCGGTCTTTGCGCCACGACCATGCAGTATAGGTAGGCCGTCATCGTCGTTTGCGACTGGATCATCATCCCAGGTGATCGTGACCATCTGGTCATCACATACGTCGTTGTCCGACTCCCATACGCATCGACCAAACCACGGGCGTTGTTCAACTTCACCGATTGGTGTCTCACTGCTATAGTCTTCAGTCAGGTCTTTGAGAAGCTGCTTCCCAGCTGCCTCTTTACCGGAAGTCTTGTAGATGTCTTCGATTTCAGGGTTCACAATCTTGACTGGCCAATCTGCGTTGCCGTTGTTCAGGTGTCTCTCGAGATAGATCTTCTTCGCGCTGTAGTCACACTGTGGCTCGTATGCGCAGGATAGGCAGTTCGTGGCTGAGCCTGCTGCTTTCGGCTTGCGCTCTTTACGGAAGAATGTGCGAGACCCCGTAGATGTGATATATGAGGGAAGGTGAGGAGTCGCATTCTCGGCATTCGGGCCAGGCGAGCAGAGCATCCACATGAGGAAGTCGATGTCGTGACAGGACTTTGTAAGAAGAGATGGCGCAGTCTTCGACTCTTTCCTCCAATTTCCTCTGTCATCGTCAGTATTTGGTATATCATTGAAGTTGAAGTGAATTACATACCTCACATAGCTGTGTGAGAAATGCCACCAACCAACAGGCTCGACATGCTCAATACTCAGCACATCACCAATAACATCCTTCTCCAGTACCAAGTGTCGCAATAACATGTTGTGCGGCGAGTATCTCAGCACATGACAAATACCGAAAATCTTCTTCTGGATCTTATCCCTGCCCTCTGCGACCTTGAGTGCCCTATACATCTTCATGCAGCTGTCTAGCCTTGTACTCATCGGTTTCTCGCACGATATGTGTACTCCCATATCCGCAAGACCACAGACGACTTCTTCGTGCATCTCATCCAGGACACAGACGAAAACAGCGTCGATGCGCTTCTCAACTTCACGCCCGGAACGGCATTCGTCAGACATCCTCTTCAACTCGTGATATTTCCAGTCTTTCCAGTCTCGAAAGGCTTGGTGTTCCTTGGGTTCTTTCCCGTCGCCCCAGATGAACTTACGACCGAATTCGGCGCGCTTGTAGTCATTGGGTTCGCATACCGCTGCGATGATGGAGTTTGTAGAGGAAAGTGCGGCTTCGGCGTAGGCTGTGCCGCGACTTCCTGCACCGATGATGAGGACGTGGGGTGGGCTGGTGAATGTTTGCTTTCCTACGGCCTGAAGGAAGGCGCTCTCGTCTGCTTCGAGGCTTGGCATGTCGCTTATATCGGTTGAAGCTTGGATTGTGATGAGGAAGGAACGGTTTAGAGTAATACCAGCGACTAATGGAATGCAGAAGCTGATTGTTACAACTGTTGTTGCTCGAAACCTGGATGAAAATTGGGAAGTCTGATGAAATATAGCTTGGTACTAGAGTCGATCCGACTGTGCTCGTGCTACATGTGCCTGCCAGTCTTGGTCTACCCGTGGTGAATGGGCGCGTTTGGGGCGATCCGAAATGCCCAAGAATGAGCAGATGTGTGTTGCGATTCCCTTTCGAGGTGACCGGTCAACACAGATGAGGGGGAGTGTGATGTTAAACTACGAGCGTAGCATCGATGTCGTTGCATTGCAGGCTAGGCATCTTGACCATTGGTGGTTATCGTTGGGGAAGGAGCGCCACGTGGGGTCTGAGCCAATGATATCATCGCTGATAAAGCCACGAGCCAGAGGTAGCATTCACGACGCATGGCCAACGTGAGTGGTTTAGGGAAGTGCGCATAGATAGGAGTGTAGAGAAACGATGATTAAGGTTACAGCTTGCGTCAATTACATTATGTAACACGTTCTTCATTCGTGTCTCGCTTTCATAGCGAGTGATATCTAATCCAAGCTTTTGTGCTATATCGTCACCACTGGCTTGATCTGAGGATGCCATGTCGCACACTCGTTATTCTGTACAATAGCCGCTCATAAGTAGCTCATACTTTGTTCAGCTCGTAAAATAGCAAATACACATCCTTCTGCATGTTCAAGACCTCAGATGTCTTACTCTCCTTGATCTTGTCGTCGCTTATACGCCACCACCTATTACTGGTTTTCTTTGACTTCCGCCTGAGAGGATTTGACTCTTTTATTGATGACGCTTTCTCCGATGCCCGCTCTTTCAACGATCGCACACTCCTCGTCCGTGACAAGGAATCGCTGCCTGTTCCTGTTTCAGTGGAAGAGGATGCCATTTGCAGTGGATCAGACTCAGATATGCGCGGCGCAGAAGTTGGTGCTGGCCCTCTCGACGACGCAGGCATGGTCTCTTGTGAGGACAGCGACCGTGTTGAGGGAGAGTTTAGTGTGGGTGTGGACGGGACTGGTGACCCGCGGTCGATGGTGTTGGGAAGATTAAGTGCCGATATGCGCGGGCTTTGTACGGCTGAAGGCGCTACCGATGGTGCTGCTGATGGGTATGGGCTGGCTTGCCGGCTGTATGCGCCTTCAGTACCAAGTGTCGCGTTCGTGGAGAACGGAAGAGGCTGGACTTGACGACGGAAGGATTCGTAGTGACCACTATTATGGCTGCCCTTGTGTGTGACCATTCCAAGAAGACGGTAGTTCTTCCGGTGTAGTATTCCGCCCAATGGCAAAGCTTCAGGGAAGGCGACCTTCGCCAAATTCTTCGTCGAGGCAGCGCCAATGGCGAACGTCGAGCGCGACAAATGTATCGCAAGAACCTTGGGGAATTGCGAAATATACATGTGGCGCGCTATGCGACGCTTGGGTGCCTGGCTCGAGTCCGGAAGCTCAACGCCCTCAGGCGGGTTCTCGGGATCGTCCTCTAATGCTTGTCGGATCTTCGCGATGTCTGATTGTAGAAGAGCCTGTGCATCCGAATCGGTGGCTCGCGAGAGCTGGTGGTCTTTGCTCCTCAGCGCATGTTCCAGCCGACAGCGCTCGCACTTGAAGTCGTCTATGTATTCAACCTTGAGCATTCCGTCGAGACAGGCGTTGAGGGAGGTGGAGGAGGCTTGGGGTACGTTGAGTGTCAGGGTGACAAAGGTCGATACGGAAGGCTTCGGCTTGAAGTGACATGTCTGGCACTCAATCTGCGATTCGATCTTGCCTTCAAACGGGAAGCCCTCCTCATCCGCGGGTGCTTCATCGTCCTCCGGCTCTTCCTCTACACCATGGCTACCAGAACCCTCAGGGGGTGCTGCGCCGAACTGACGTTCAATGTCCCTCCTTTCCGACGCGCCGTCCTCGGTTGTGATCGTGGCGCCTGCCCGTGTCGCTTGTCGCCGGGCCTTTCCGCCGGCATGGTACTCGTCGCATAGGCGCTCGGTGACGATCTGGAGGAATTCTTGCGCGTCCTGCTGTTGCCGGCTAATGCGGGTGCCGAATGCGTGCTCGAGCGATCGGATGAAGGGTTGGGGAGAAATCGTTTTCTTGTATATGGGGCGCTCGTTCAGCCGGTCGAGAATTTCCTTGAGTCCATGGGTGAGGATGCCGCGCTGCAGACCCTCTAACTTTGCAGGCCTTGCGGTCCCTGTCTCGGCGTTGAGTCTTTCAGGGTCCACATCATAAACTTCGGGTCCGTCGAGCATGCGCCTATGCGTCTCTCTTATGAGATATATGCGCAAGTCTGGCAAGCCGGCGAGCGCCTGCAGCACCGAATTGATAAAGCAGTCGTTGGCGGCATTGCTGAGGCCGACTACGCCCTTCTTCTTGCCGCTGGCTGCATTCGCGTCGTCGTCGAGGAAATACGTCGGGCCAAAGACGTAGACGAGGGTAATGGCGGCGAGGGAGGCTCCTGCGGCGTAGGTTGCAATTGTGAGGGGCTTCTCAGGCATCTTGCGGCGCTTGTCACTTCCGCTACCGCGGGATTGGATGGAGAAACTGGGGTCGTGTAGGGTGTCGCGAACGCTGTGCTCGGTCGTGCTAAGGTTGTACGGCGAAGATGCTATGGGAATGGCGTAGGGTGTGTCCGACTGCTGCAGAAGCCATGGTCTGACTGCTGGCCAGCTTGGGATATTGCGCTGGCCGTCATCTGTCGTTTGCTTGTGAGGCGGGCGCAAAGTATGCCGAGCCTACGGCAAGTAGCACCGGCCACTCGCACCTTCCGCCCTCCGCCGCAAGGATCTCCACATCTGGTGGACGTCGTGCATTTTTCTTGAGATTAATCCAATCTCACAACGACACGCACAATGGCTTCGCTGAGGACGTCCACGCTGCTCCCGCAGTGCACGTCATGCATCCGGAGGGTGACGCGGCAGAATCTGGACGTCTGGGGGTCCCAGCAGACTCGCAGCATCTCCAAGAAGGCGAAGGAGGCAGAGCGCAACATCATCGTGAAGCTGCTGAAGGATGTGCCAAGATTTGGTCGCGCAGGTACGATGCAGCTACTGCACGAGTTTGACATGTGCGCTCTGGCAAGCCACTGAAGCTGTCAAACTGACCGCAAACATCACCAGTCAATATGGCTAATACGATCAAGGCTCATATGTCCCCCTCAACCCGTCTCTCATGCGCAATCGATGGTTCCCCGCACGCGTCGCCGACTATGTACCCGCTATCCAGATGAAGCAGCTCAAGGCGCATGACGTGGACATGGCCCGTGACTTCACATATGGCGTACGACTGAATCTGGAGGAGGTCGAGGAAGAGGAGGACGACTTCGCGAAGCAGCCAAAACACTACGTGCGGCCGATTGAGATTAACGTGCTCAGCGTATGTTTATATCGAACCACCATTTCTACGCATACTAACAAGGACAGCCTGAGCGGTCTATGGAACTCCTCGACGCCTTCGTACCACCCACAATCGACTTCTACCGCCAACGGATCGAGCAAGAGAGCCAGTCCAGAGACCGCATGGGTGCGTCTGGTGCGGCAGACATCCTGACTGCAGCCGCAATGGGCAAGAAGGCAAATGTGGACGCCATCTACGGATCCGTCTCGACTGCAGATCTGGTTGCAACCATAAGGGGAGCGCTCGCCCACAACGACGAGGCGGCTCGCGTAATACTGAACGAGGCGGACGTCAAGTTCCTCTCAGGGCATGAGGAGGGCGACACATCGCGTGTGAAGCAGCTGGGCACATTCAAGGTTGAGATACGGTTACCCGGCGTAGAGGAGCCTATGGTGAGGAACATCCGAGTCAGAGCGAAGACATCGGAATCATGAGGCTGCATCAGCCGGCTGTTACGAGTCCTAAACCCCAACCTCGGACATCTGGAGGCCCAGACCACACCTTCCGAGGATCCCTCCGCCTCGCTGTAAAGATATACCTGTGCCATCCATGTCACATAGAATTCCGCATATCGGAAAAATCAGACAACACCTCAATCACGATCATGATATCGCGCATGTGTCTAGTCTAGCATCATCAGAGTGACTTCATTGGTGGGACCTGGCGCATGCCTGGACGGAGCTGAGTAACATGGAAGAAGTGGCTGGCTCGGTAATTCGAGGCGTAAAGCGACAGCGTTTTGCGGCGAGACTCGGGCAACATGTCACCTGTGGACTGCGATGATGCTTCACCGAGCTAATGTGAAAAAGCCAGTCCACTTTACTTCCGCGCTGCCGAGCGAAAGCGGCCCCGCCATGACTTCAGAGCGCGGCCGTGAAGCATCATCGTGTATCAGACCAGGCGCATGTCACTGCGCACTGCCATCACCCACGGTTGGGAGTGCAGTGATTCAGCGCAGCGCCATCACGGTGTAGAAAGAGTTTGATAACCTCGTAGTCATCGTATCAGATATAGCGTATCGGAAATTTTGTGGGGTGAGGTTTGCTTTTACTCGAGCGTGGGTAGGTCAACTTTGGTGAGGGAAGCTGGCGCGACGCTGCACCCGTGGACGCTGCGTCACTGCTGCGGTCATTAGCGGGGTGGTTTTTGTGGTCCGGTAACCCCACTACCATGTTTGAACTTTAACTAGATAGCTCTCAACACTGCGCAAACTTCTCTCTCCATACCACACCTTTCTACAATTTCAGACACTGAATTGTACCCTCCATTACACACCCACACACAAACCCAGTACATACCCTATCTAACAATCAACATGGCTTCCAAGGTCCTCAACGGAAAGTAAGTTACATCGACCCCGCTCGCATGATCGCGACTTGAAGCTAACATCTCCCCCTCTAGGACTGGTGTCATCTACGGTGAGGATGTCTACAACCTCTTCAAGCACGCCCAGGCCGAGGGCTACGCCATCCCCGCCATCAACGTCACCTCTTCCTCGACCGTTGTCGCTTCTCTCGAGGCCGCCCGCGACTCGAAGTCCCCCATCATCCTGCAGATGAGCCAGGGTGGTGCCGCATACTTCGCCGGAAAGGGCGTCGACAACAAGGACCAGAGCGCTTCCATCCAGGGAGCCATCGCTGGTGCCCACTACATCCGCGCCATTGCGCCCGCATACGGCATCCCAGTCGTTCTCCACACCGACCACTGCGCCAAGAAGCTTCTGCCATGGTTGGACGGCATGCTCGATGAGGATGAGAAGTTCTTCAAGGCCAACGGTAAGTTCTGACTGTACCAAGTCCAAGGAGACAACTATTAACTTGGCATCTTTGTAGGCGTCCCTCTCTTCAGCTCCCACATGATCGATCTCTCGGAAGAGAGCAAGGAGGAGAACATCGCGACCACCAAGAAGTACTTGGAACGTGCTGCTCCCATGAAGCAATTCCTCGAGATGGAAATCGGCATCACTGGTGGAGAAGAGGACGGTGTCAACAACGAGGACGTCGACAACAACAGCTTGTACACCCAGTATGCCACGTCCCTCTAAACATCCCACTACAGAACCGTATTAACTCTTTTCCAGACCAGAGGACATCTACGACATCTACAAGACGTAAGTTTTGACTGTTCAAACTCCATGTGAGACATATACTGACCTCTCACGCAGTTTGTCGGAAGTCTCTAAGTACTTCTCGATTGCTGCCGGCTTCGGAAACGTACACGGTGTCTACAAGCCCGGAAACGTCAAGCTCCGCCCTGAGCTCCTCCAGAAGCACCAGCAGTTCGTCAAGGAGAAGACCAACGCCAAGGACGACAAGCCCGTCTTCCTCGTTTTCCACGGTGGCAGTGGCAGCTCCGTCGATGACTTCCGTCAGGCTATCTCATACGGTGTCGTTAAGGTGAACCTCGACACAGATATGCAATGGGCTTACCTCTCCGGTGTCCGTGACTACGTCCTGAACAAGAAGGAGTATTTGATGACTCAAGTTGGTAACCCAGATGGCGAGGACAAGCCAGTAAGTGACCATGTACAGAATGTATACGAGACATACACTAACCCACGTACAGAACAAAAAGTTCTACGATCCGAGAGGCCCGTAATCCCTTTCCGTGTTTAACAAGAAGCGTATGCTAACTTCTGAACAGTGTGGGTGCGAAGCGGCGAAGTTACCATGTATTTCGACCCTGTATGAGATGAAAATGAGACAAATACTGACTTCTTCAGGTCTCAACGCCTTAAGACAGCCCTCGACGACTTTTACACCGCCGGCAAGGCCTAAAAGGTCCCCGAACATCGCGAAGCGGAGACGGTTTCGGTCATTGGGGAACGGCGTTGGTGGGGATGCATGGGGGGACGGCAGTGCCATGAGTGCGGTCTGGATGTGTTGCGACCATGGAGTTGAGGACAGAAAAGTCGCATGCCTGGACATGAATATTGATGAACAGTACGAAAGTCTGCTCGAGAGAACAAGATTTCAGTATCCCCATATTTGGCTCCTTTGGTGCAATGTTCTTCTCTTTCCTGTTCCAACTAGATGTGATTATGTATACGGAGAGTGCAAGTACACAGTAGAAACACTTGATGTGTCATGCTGAAGTATACAATGCCGTGATTGGAGAGTGGTCGGAGTATGACTCTTCGAGTCCTCACCAGATTACTGAGTCTGATGCCGCAAAGTGGCTGTGGTCGAGTTCTGTAGTGTGAATGGATAGAAACTCTTTGCCAGTTCATGTACCTCGAGTATTCAAATACACAGCATTTTACCGCTTGGGCGTATTAGTGTGGTTGGCAGGTTGGTATGACCGACTTGACAATGACATCAGAGACCGACATGTCACCTCTAGACATTGTCATTCGACTGTATGTGCATAGATTTGGATGTCCGTATTCGTTTGGATGCATTCATTTATGGCATACCCTCACGTCAACCTAGGAAAAAAACTAAACAGGTCTGCAGCCTACATAAACATAGGAACATGCAGATTAGGTGCCCTGATTTCGATGTAGGCTCCAGACCTGTTCGGATTTTTTCCTTGTATGAGGTGCCCTCGTAGCCATGCAGCCTACCGCAACGTGCTGGATGTCATGCTCGACGCGTGGGAACCCCAATGCGGCTTAGTTCAGCCCTACCGGCAGCGCGTCCTTGAAATCCCGAGCATGACATCACATCGTCGAGCCTATGTCGCAATGCGCTTTCCCAAACTACGCGCAAACGATGCACATCATGGCAAACCCAGAAGCAGGTTGCGTGGCAGCTACTGCCCGCGTCGAGTACTTATGCCGGCACCCCTCCTGGCTTCTCGTTCACGAATACTCTCAACACACACCTTGATACACCAACCTATACGCGTCTCTCCACAACTACACAAGCTTCTCAACTGCTATCCATAACACACCTAATACCCACATATCCAACATATCCAACATGACTCTCGGCGACTCTATCCGCAAGGGTGTGGGCATGGTTCACGTGAGTTAGCTCTATCATTGCGATGCATGCGCCTAGCTCAACATTGTCGCTTTACTCCAACCTCCCGAGTTACCTCGACATCGAAGCCATGCTAACAATATCTAGGGAACTGGCGAAGCCATCCGAGGCAATGCCATGTCCATGGTCGACGAAGCGAGCGGCGATAAAGCGAGCGCAACCAAGAACCAGGAGATTGCCAACAAGGGAGTCGACGAGTGGGATCGAGGCTACCGAGGCCACCCTGCCGACGCCGGTGTTACCCCTGCTGACGCCGATGCCCACCGCGAACGCATGAACACGACCGGCACCACGGCCACAAACTACGGCTCGCACAACTCCAACATTGGCAACAAGGTCGACCCCAGGTACGACTCTGACCTCGACCACAGAGGTACCGCGACCGACTCTACAAACGCTGGGCCGCATTCCACAAACGTTGGCAACAAGATGGACCCGCGCTTCGACTCGGACGTAGACCACCGCGCTGATCCTACATCCAAAGTTGGCGGTACGGGCTACGAGACGCGTAGATAGACGATACACTCAACACTTCAACATCAATATACCCCTTTCCTCGTACCTACCGATCCTGTTCGACTTGTTCTCGCTGACGTCATAGCCCATGCTCGCTCATTACTTCCTACAGCGCAGAAAGATGGCACAGGTGAGATTGAGTATTCCAAATGACTACATTTACTACACGAACTCCTTTTCTCAGCACCTTGCCCAATTGATGCTGATGCTGTATAGCCGATAGAGACTTTGCCGAATGGCAGCCATCGCAAGGCTTCGACGACGCATGGCACCCACCGCACGAATCCCAGCATGACCCGAACCCTCCGCATGAACACCGTGGTTCTATCGGCGGCTCGTCCGGATTAGAGGCTGCGAACAAGCTCGATCCTGTATTCACCGTCGGATCGGACGAAGCATCGATGAAGTACACGGATCACCCGAACATCCACCGTCTCCGCGGCTCGATAAGCGGCGCGTCAGGTCTCGAGGCTGCTCAGAAGCTTGACCCACCTGAGCAGGCAACACCGTATATGCCAGACGAAGTATCGGCTCGTGGCCCCGGCTACAGCCAACCCGAGCCTTCCTATCACCAACCGAAACCTACGCATCAAAGCAGCGTCTTGAACATGCTTGATGAAGACGTCGAACCAGAACAATACCCGCCTCCGAACCGCGCTACCACAGAGCCTGCACCGCAGTACGATGACGGCTCTGATAACTCAGCAGAGTCGGGAAGGTACTCGCCCGACTCGGACGACGAACTTCATCGCATATCTCGCCGCCGAAGCCGTAAGTTCACTCTCCGCAGGTTGTCGCATATTTTTGTCGAAGGTGGCTCGCCACATGTCTTTCGCAAAGGTGCCTAGTAAACGGCAGCCTCGGCGTGCGCTTATGCTAATAGACTGTGATACTCAGATGCAAGAGTGGATCCACCCAGTACTACGAGGGGCGAGCCGAGATCGACGACGAATCCTCATAAGAGTGATCTCTTGAATAGAATGGATCCTAGAGTTGATCGCGCTGCGGTAAAGAGATCGAAGAAGAGTGATTGCATTTGAGAGAGAGTGGCTGCTGAGTGCTATTGGGGCTGCGACGGATGCAGTATGACGAGCTAAGTCGTGATGCCGTAGAGACATAATTGGCACGATGCATTTCTAGTTTACTGTCCCTTTATCCGTGTCGATGGGCCGAACAGGACACATTGCCACTGCAACCATTGACGTGTACGAGCAATTACGAGAAATGACCATAGTGATGATCAGCATCATCGAATCGATACTGGTTACCCATAATACTACATATCGGCAAGACTGACATATGTCTCTTTTCTGAGATCTTCCTGCTGTACTCGGTACACCCCGCAGCTATACATCACACCGCGTGGTTCCTTCAGCTCGACCAAACACATATGTATGCCTCAACGCTGCTCATTACAACAACATGAAGCAGAACAGTTCTGCCTTTTTTTCTGCTTTTCGTAGTGTGCACTAAGCTTGTGTGTAGAGGCACAGCCATGGCAAGTATTCTGATGCATTTTGATACTCTTCGGGACTTGCTCGCACAACAGTCATGTCGGTAGTGTCAGGCATAATTTATATACGAGGGAGGACAAAGCCCACGAACACATAGTTTAGAATCTTTCGGTTTTTTTGGAGGCACACATGTTTTCTTGCTGTGAATTTTGATGGATATGGAGTCTTTTGGTGTTGTGTTTGGTCGAGCAATCGTAATGACGGGAGGGGAGGAAGCAGGAGCATGGTGCCATGTATCCGATGTTTGAGCGAGGGCTACTTGCATGCAACGTGTGATGATGTCTTTTGGTTATTCTCAATCATAGAGCATAAATATTGACTCTTGGTGTTTAGACTCTGGCGGAGACGAGAGACCAGATTATGATGTTCTGGATGTCATGTTTTGAGTCGAAGTCGAAAAACATGATTCTCTGATGCGTTTCCTTTCGGTTCTGGACTGCATGGCTATGCAGTGAGGGATTTCGAATGCCACGCTTGTTTTTGGAGGAAAGACCGGGAAGACAGGCATTGATTGGACATGTCGACATTTGTGGTTGCGCAGTCCAGAGACAGCAGGAACATTCTCCAGTATGGCGATAATTTTGGTACAAAGACACCACATGAATTTCCGGTTATATTCGTTTTGGTAAAACACCGACGAGGTGTATGTCGATGAAGGAAGGAGGGAGGATGTGGAAGTGGTTGTTTTTATACACGAGAGAAGCGACGGTCATGTTCTTTTTCCACGGACAGTTTCGTTATTTTTGGGAAAGAAGGACAAAGAACAGCGCAGACATGGGATCCACCCCCTCTGGTTTTAATAGCCACGGGTCGTGAAATCGAAGGCATGGAGGGGTTGCCCGGGTCTCTTTGGTCCACAGACATGAGAAAAGTCTGAAGGTGTTTTGGACTTTGAGACTTTTTGGTAGAGTGGAGGGGAGGAGCATAGAAGTCGGACATGAACCTTTTTGGTATTGTGTCCGGCGAGCGGAGAAGAGAGCCACATACGCGTGACATGCGGGGCTTTGGTTCGCAGACATCAAATGCGTTGCCCTTGTTTTTGGAGAAATGAAGGAAAGTTTTGGTAGTGATGGAAGAGCGAACGGGTGGCAGAACGCAAGCCTTTTATACCCGCTTCATTAGTGCCAAACGTCTACACGTGCGCATGACGATGATCGCGTCAATGTCAAGAAGATGATGACGACGTCGTCTCGTTCAAAGTATATCCGGTGATGGTACGTTTGCACGGTTGAGGTGTATGTAAAACAATGCGTTGTGGGCTGATATTAGAGAACACTAAAGATTAAACTACTACCAAAAGCTTTTGAACGTCAACCTCAAAGTACTGCAACGCATGCATACGTGCTCGCCCACAGGCCGGCGCACGTACTACCAACCGCTGGGTTCCACTTGACAAAATTCGCCGCACTGATCTTGTACTTTGCCGAAATAGACGAACAATTATCTCCACTGACGACGTAATGAAAAGATTTGCAGCTTGTCGTCATACCCTGCTGATAAGGTGTAGGTGTTGAAACTCCGTTACCAGGGCGGGTCGAGGTGGCTGGAGCCTTCGTCGTAGTCGTGGGTGTGTGCCCGATGGTAGATACGCAGATGTACTGATTTACGTAGTCAGCAAGCGATCTATGGAGGCGCAAAGTACGAAAGTAACTTACAGTGTCGAGCCACAGGCTACCGCAGTTTGAACCGACAGCGGGGTTCCAGGAGATGATCTGAGCGGAGGTGATGCCCTTCTCGGCTGAGATTTTGGCACACGTGTCGCCTGACTTCACCATGTAGAAGCTGTCGCAGTCACGGACCATGCCGTCCTGAACTGGAGCTGGAGTTGAGATACCGTTCCCTGTGGTTGTTGTACTGGGAGCTGCAGAAGTAGGTGTGTGACCGATAATGCTAACACACGCGTATGCATTTGCCCAAAGACCGGCACAGTCGGAGCCAGCATTTGGATTCCAGGCAAGGAATTGAGCAGTGGAGATACCATTGGTTTTGGCAATGCTTTCGCAGTTGTCACCGCTGCTGACATAGTAAAATGAGTCGCAATTGGAGACGATGTCTGGTTGAAGTGGAGAGGGTGTCTCAATACCGTTGGGAGGTTTCGTCGTTGCAGGCGGTGCGGTAGTCGATGGCGACGTGACCAGTGTAGAAGAATGGGTTGTAGTAACGGCCTTGGACGAAGAAGTAGATGTGGGCTTAGATGACGAAGTAGTAGTAGGGAGTGGCGTTGGGGAGGAGCTAAAAGAAGGCAGGCTTGGAGCGGGCTCATCCACAGTCTCCACGCAGTACGAGTTTCCAACAACAAGACCACCACACTCAGCAGTGATGGAAGGATTCTGGCTTATGTCAATGAAGTCAATCTCCAGATCTGGAGAGGATAGGCTTACCCAGCGACGTAACTCCTCGAGAGTGATGTAGTTCTCTGTCAAAAGTGAAGAGCAGTCTCTCTCCGAGTCCAGATCAATCCACCATGAGCAGTACTTGGTGGTTTCTCCATCATATGGAAGCGAAGGAGTAAATCCATCACGTTCCACAAAACGAGGTGCTGCCACTACGAGCGCAGCATGTAGAGCGCCGACGCTAAGAAGCAGGCTTGCTGGAGAAGACAGTAACAGCATCTCCCGATATCGGTGGTACAACTTATTGATGAAGATGACGTGGTTAGGTTCTTCTTTCACGCGTCACTGACAAGCAATGTCTTATATTTGCCGTCAGGTGGTAAGTATGTTCCACTCTGTGCTACGAGATGCTGCTTGCGAATTTACCCTGTCTCTGATTCTAGTGCGCCAGTCCAGAGTAGTCACCCGCGTATCTAGAGATGGGCCCATTGAGGCCCATCTTCATCATCCGTGAGGCCTGTCCGTCGGCGGCCGAGTGTGCTACAATCCATGGATGCCACCGTGAAAGCTCTGATGCGTCACTTGAGCGCTTCCTCTGCTAGGGTGCCAGATTACCGGGTGTCGCCCAGTCACATCGCGTCGAGGCTGATCCAGCCTCAAATGATCAGAGTGCTCGTCAATTACTCCATGGTGTGAGGTCTGCATATGCGCGGGTCTCGCATAGGCCCGACTCGCGCAATCATGTATACTGCAGGAGTTGAGTCCTAGTTCAGAAGGTCATATCCGATACAATACCTCAGCATTTTTAGTGCCCGATATTCCACCAGTGATGTTGATAAGCGCGCTCTTCATGTAGGGGTCGAAGTCTGGAGAGGCCACGGATGTACCCGACCACCCCTGGGCTGTGTGCGCAGACGCGGGTACGCGGCACAGTGCAAGAGAGACTACCTCGAATACAGGAAAGATAAGCTGGGGCGGAATTCCTTGTGGTCACCCACTTAGGTAGGTTGCTTCGTCGGCCAATATGGACAATTCACAGATTGGGGTGATAGTGTTCGCAGGCGTCTTGGCAGAAGAAGCCATTGTGAGGCTAGAAGCGGCGCACTGACTCTCGAGCACCATCAGAACAGGGAAGAGTCAAACGAGATGAGACTGGAGCGAAGCACTTTGCCCCCGTACGCTATTACAGACTTTGAAGTTTGCGCAATGAGTGCAACTCAATGAGGCATTTTTGGCGCAAGATTTCCGACACCACTCAACATCGTGCAATAATAGCCAACATGTGTGATAGCATAAGTTATGTGCAGCCAAGATATGCAGCAGCCTTATATTGTATAGAATCAAAGACATCATATTCAGTTCAGCGCGATGGGATGTTGGAGTCGATTTCAGGCTCATGGCGAACTTCAAGTTACACCTTTTAGAGATTGAAGGGCAGTTTCAAGAGTAGATACGTGAACGGCGAATATGATCATGATGGATCAACCTTTACATAGCCCACAAGCCTCCAAGTCCTCCACTTCTGGCCACCGCACTGAGCTTGTTGGCTATAGCGCTCGAGACGATAGAAACAGCAGAAGCTGTGGTCGAGGCAACAGTAGAAGTAGTTGCTTGATTCCTCTGAGCTTTGAAGACGTTGAGAAAACCAACTCCGCCGCAAAATGTATTTTTGTCGCCCGTGCATGTCGAGTTGCAGCTTGTTTGGTTACTCGCCCAGTTGCCGCCGACATAGCTACCGCACCAGCATTGATTGCCCTGTTGTACACCAGCGAAGCCAAAAGCGCGGCGGTAACAGCTGTTCTTGCACTTGGGAATCGTGAGGGCAGAGTCGCCGTTGGGATTCATGTTCTTTTCGAGGATTGGCATGTCCGGGTCTTCCACGTAACAGCCGAGTGGCGTCCAGGCAGTTGGAGATGGAGCAAGAGTAGCAACGCTAGTTGTAGTGGAGGAAAGCTTCGAGCTTGATGTTGTCGTTGGTTTTGTAGCGTTTAGCTTCGTTTC